TCTATTTTTTTGTTGCAAATGATAAATATGAATGAAAAAAGTTAACCCATTTAAAAAAAATTTCTGAATGTTTTTAAATACACTTTATATTCTGTTGAAAGTACACTTACCTTACATTTTAAGTTATCAAACTTATCTTAAGTAAGATTTGATTTCAGAGTTATTATTACTTATTAAATTACTGTCCACTGTAAACTGATAATTGCCACCATTTGAATAGCTAGAGTGTCATCAAAACACACTATGCCTCTGGGTTATGTAACAATTAAACAGTGCATTGTTTGGAGAAGTGCTCCAAATTACCAGTCCCTTTTTTCATACAGTGTTTATAAAACATAAATTGAGCTGGTCTAGCTTGAACTGACCATGAAAAACCTATTGTACCAAAGAAAATAGAAGACATGCAGGCATTCTCTGCTTAGCGGAGCAAAATGTACAAACTATCTACCTTTTTTACAAGTTTGCCAATGCATTTATTTTTTTCATAAGGCACTAGATCAAAACAGCCTATGCTTTATTATAAGATATTTTGGGCAGGGGTTAAAGTGCCCCAAAAGTTAAATTGCTTTATGGCATCAATAGTTACACAAAAATATTGTACATGTTTTATATTACTGACAATTTAAAAGTTTGAACTCCTTATGAATGTAAGTTATTGACAGTGTAATATATTCAAGTACTTGAAATCAAATTTGAATTATCATTAACCATGTTTAGTTTTGAGGGGGGTGGATGCATGCTTACGAAAAAAATGCACAGTTTTGTATTTCTTTTTTAAAATCCTCCAAAAGTAATGGTAATAGTAATGCATTACTTTACTTAAGGAATGGTAATGTAATGCATTACTTTCAAAAAATAGTGTAATGGTAATAGTAATTTAATGCCTAATTGTTGAAGTAATGGTGATGTAATGCATTGTTGCAACCACTATTGAAATAACGACCACTATTGAAATACTTGTATCAATAGTGGTTGAAAGTGCATTTCAATAGCAAACATAGTTAGTAACCACTATTGAAATACAACCACTATTGAAATAATTCTATCAATAGTGGTTGAGAGCGTATTTCAAGAACAAACATAGATAATAACCGCTATTGAAATACGACCACTATTGAAATAATTATTTCAATAGTGGGTGAGATTCATTTCAATAACATACATAGGTTGCAACCACTATTGAAATAATTTTCTCTTTTGAAATAAAGATTTCAATATGAATTAAATTGTGGTTTTAGTTTTGCTTAATACTTTAGTAAGTATTATCTATCAAATATCAAAAAAATAATTATTTAAATCACTTTTGAAATTATCATTTCAATAACTATCTAAATCTTCATTTAAGGACAGATGATTCAAACAAAATATTGATGCCTGGATTGGTATATATTTTTTCGTCTGATTTCATTGAAAATGATGCAAATAATAAATTTCTAGAATATAAAGAAATTGTAACCGTTTTTTGATATTCAAAAATCTGCTAAAACTAAAACCATCCTTATTAATTTATACACTTTAATCATTAATCTATATATTTTTCACCCCAAATCCGATTTTTGTGAAATTTGGATAAAAAATTAAAAATTACGCGGTGAAACTTTTCTTTCAATACTGGTCGTATTTCAATATTGGTTGAAACCTATTGTTACATCTATCACATTGAAATGCACTCTTCCCCACTATTAGATAATTATTTCAATAGTGCTACGATTTCAACAGTGGTTGAAACCTATGGTTATTATATTGAAATGCATTCTCTCTCACCATTGAAATAAATATTTATAAAGCGGTCGTATTTCAATAGTGGTTATAACCTATGCTTGTTTTGAAATACGCTCTCAACCACTTTTGATAGAATTATTTCAATAGTGGTTGTATTTCAATAGTGGTAACTAACTATGTTTGTTATTGAAATGCACTCTCAACCAATTTTGATATGATTATATCAATAGTGGTTGTATTTCAATAGTGGTTACTATGTTTGCTATTGAAATGCAGTCTCAACCTATATTGATATAATTATTTCAATATTGGTCGTATTTCAATAGTGGTTACTAACTATGTTTGCTATTAAAATGCACTCTCAACCACTACTGATATAATTATTTCAATAGTGGTCGTTATTTCAATAGTGGTTGCAACAATGCATTACTTTACAATGTAATTCGCCCCAAGCCTGCTATATCCATATTTTTGTTTCCAAGTTTTTGTCAAAAATAAAAATGAATTATATTGAATATAAATTTATGTGTATATTTTTGAAGATTTGTATTTTACGCTGAAATTTAGCAATGCTTTAAGTTTGCAAATACAAGCTAATTTTTACGTAACTGTCCTTAGATCAAATGTAGAAAGGCGTCTTTCATACAAATTGTCCGACATTTATTTCTGCATTGGATGACGGGTCATAGTAGCCTAGAAGCACGACACTCGCTACATGTTCCGGAGATCTATTTTCAATTTTCTACGCCGCCCTGTGAAAGAACTAACTTAAATGTAACTAGTAGACCCTTCAATCTCACGGCACCATACGTGAGGGAAAAACGAATCTATCGTATAAGAACTTAAAACTTCAAGTCTCGTGTCACTGAAGGCCTTCTCAAGAAAATTATTAATCATTGTTCAATTGCTATGAGTAACGAATAATGATTATAAATTTGATGCCATTCGCTAACATATAATGAAAGATATCCGGAATGGATGTAAAATAATAGAAAAATCATTTAGCAATAATACTGAGTTGTCTATGATTTTTTTTTCAGTTTACCCAATATCAAGAAAAAATGACAGGAGATGCTTACTCTTCCATGATACTTGATCCAAATCTCTTTTCATAGTTCTCAGAAATTGAATTGTTTATTTGGCATTTTTTTAGAATGATAACTATTCTTTATTTTCTCATTTTATTGATCTTTAAATTTATGTTTAAACTGTTTTAGGATCACAATTCTGCTGAATTGATCGGTTGATGATTGTACGTTCTATCCCTATACAAATATTACACTTTATCCCGCTTTAGACAAATTTGTCGATTACTGATTGGATAAAAGCGAATCACGTGACGCCCTGAAATTTTCCGTATTACGTCTCCGTTTCCGTATTACAGTGCTGTTATCCTATAAGTTGACAATTCTATCCTATCCTATCGTGAATCCTGCATCCACAATCCTATCCTGTGAATTCACTCTAATCCTATCCTATCCTATCCTGCAACTCTCAGTTTTTTAATATTTAGGAATTAATTTGACAAAACGAAAAAAAGGAATTATCAGGAAAAAAATCAGACATAGTTATGGTATTCATTTAAATGTTATAGATTTTAATGGAAAAAAAAATAATCGAGATCGGCATTCCATAATTCCCGACTCGCCGCACAAATTAAATTTACGATTATCATGGCCATGTTAAAAATAAATGTTAACAAACAGGTCGTAATTACACGTGGACAAGTACTGATTTTACGAACATATGTAAAGAAATTGGGCTACCAGAAGAATTAAAGAAAAAAAATATACTTAGTGTTTTAATTTTCCTACTAACAATGATCGGGAGACCCGGGATCGCGACTTGCGTCCGGCGTATTATGATTAATTAATTTTAAAAATCATAGGCCTATACGGTAAAAATGTTTAAGTATATGTTTCATGTATTTTTTTTTTCTAAACTGAACACCATGAAAATAACATGCATGTACATGTATCTATAGTCTAACTGTGCCTGCATAACAGGTTTTTCTGTATGCAATTCTCAAAAAGAAGATCTGACTAGACAATAAACCAAACAGACAAAGTCAAAATGTAGATCTAGAATATTTTGACTTTCACATATTAAACATTTTAAATGTGAAATTGTCTTATAATATCAAATATTAAATGTATGATTTTTTTAATTTAATTTCATAATTTATTCTTTTTTAAAATTTCAGTTCATCATCTGTCGTATGTGATATTTTTCAAACATGCAAAATATATAGTTGCTAAATAAAATTCAAGATGATCGAAATGTTTTTTTTTTCCATTTAACTTCAGTTTCTTCTCACTTTATGGTCAGCTCAGTGCCGTACAAATTATTTCAATTTCCTATTTTGTTTTATGTGTGAAAAGGTAATAATCTATGTTTAATAGAATATATTTTCTAAATTTGATATTGGTTGACAGATTGACAGTATATAAATATTGCATGTAGTTGAGTGTAACATTGTCAACCGAGGCGCAGCCGAGGTTGACAATGGTTTTCGAGGGGTGAAAATTTTTAATGTTACAATCAACTACATGCAATATTTATTATATTATACTGAATGTTTTATACAAATACATATTACAGTGAACCGTGTGCGCATAAATTTCGCGCAGTCACTATACTTTGTAATACCACCCGTCGTCAAGCAATGTTGACTGTTGCTACGCAGGAGGGCATGGCTTCATTATCAGCAGGTAGTAGTGTTTTTTATCAAATGTTTCTCGAAGAGTCAGATTCAAGTAATTTACATGAAAGTATAATATAAATAAATATTGCAGTGAGGTCACACATGTTCCTAAGATCTTAGAAAACATGCTAGAGAAATTCAGAATTCACAGTATTTACAGTATTTATAACTCATTCTTGAGTAAAGCAAGTTTGTATTTGACCTTGGTATTGGATCTTGAATCTTAATCAGTGTCTGATTGAAAAATATTAAAATGCTCCACACATGTTCCTTAGATCTTATAAACATGCATAAGAATTCACAGTATGTATAACACATTCTTGAGTAAACCTTTTATTTGACCTTGACATTTGATCTTAAAATTATCAGTGTTGAAATGAGAAAAAAAACTTTATCAAGTACACAATATTTTTATTCAAGGTGGTTCCTCAACAATGTTTAACAATTGAATATTCCATTACCATGAGACAAAGTCATTAAAAGTATCCATGTACACCGCATTTATGAATTTTAATTCAAAGATCACAGATACATGTACATGAACGTTGTTTAAATTTAAGTTTATCAATGTTTTTATAACCGTGGTATAATGTTTTACATGCATTTAATTTGACTTTCTTATTCGACGCTCAAATTGAAATTCAAATGTCAGAGTTATTGTCAGAGAGATGGTCATAAACTGAACAGTTCCACAAATGTCAACAATGCACAGAAAACATACACTGATCTCCTTAATTAAAGCACCATGATTTCAGTCTAAGGAATCTTTGACACTGGTTTGAACATCTTTCATCATTTACTCTAACAGCATATGGCATGAACTGCATTCTGCACAGCTGCAAATCTGCAGGGTTTCCTGAAAAAAAATCACATAATTAAAGGCATGTAGATTGTAAATTTTGTCATACACATTTCATACACATTTAAAATGTTTTTGATTGTGATTATCTTTCACATTTCATGTACAATTGGCTTTAATTTCACCTTTTTCTCTCTCAAAAAAAAAATAATGCATTTAGAAATCATGAAAAATAAAATCTTATACTGCAACCTCAGTCATATAAAATTAAGAGAAAAATCTTATTTAAGATAATTTACTTGTACATTATAATTCATTTTATCTTGTCAACTTGCTAACAAGTATGAATACATTTGTTTTAATGACTTTTCTCTATTTTCTCTTTGTATTTATCTATTTAATGTTTTTTCTTGGTTTTTTTTTTTTTGGTCTTGAAATTTGAATATGTAAAAGAAGAAGAAAATATCTATGTAACAGGAACATGATGACCAGAAAAATTCAACATTTCTTTCAGTTTAACTCTCAAGATTTTTGAAAGAAGAAAATCACTTGTTCCGAAAAACTGCAGACATGTCACCTCAAAGCAGAAAATGATGTTTATATAGTTGAATGACCATTTAAAAATACATGATAAAAATAAAATCATACATACTTTTTAGATTAAAATCCTTTATACCGTGATGACACATGATGACGCATGAGTGCAGGCAAATCCATCACTGTAATAATGAATATTAAAAGATTAACTTATGTTTCATAACTCACAATACATCATACATACATGTACAATATGTAAGTGCACTGCTGAGTGAGCTTATTAAACATTTCAGCAGTAGCATTAGAAATGGTCATGATGATTCTAAATTAATTTATTATAAGTTACACTGAAATGAAAGAATTAAGGAAATAATAAGATTAATAAACTGATTAAGGCATAATACATATGATTGTTTTAGTCTTAGAGCTCACTGATAGCTAATTGAATCATATGACAGAGTAACGGGGGTATTTGTAAATATTTTATCCCCCCTTCTGTCTACACTACTTCTTTTTTCCGCAACTAATTTTTGTTTATATTAAATAGAATAAAATGTTTATATTTTAAGACAAGAGAACATTGTTTTGAGGGATAAATAAGTATAAAAATGCAAACATGTACAGTGTACATGGTGTACAGTGTGTAGTATACTTACATGAACTCGCACATCATCTATTCAAGTCCGCTGTTGACGGTTCCTGTGGAATTATCCAAACAAACAGAGCATATTTAACAGAAAACATGTTAGAACACTTTTTCAAAGTAAGAATCGGTTAAATCATCCAAACAAGCTGAAGAAATACGGTCTTTCGATGTCTGGACTCTTCGTTGTTTACATTCCCAAATCTTCCGGTGATCGTTCACGGTTAGATCGTACGCCGTGTTACTCGAAGTTTATAATGTAAATCTGTGTTTTGAGAAAAAAATGTTTTATTTTCTATTGAAATTTTATAAATATTTCTTTTGTAGACATTTTATATCGTATTTCGTTTTTGTAATTTATTCTGAAATATGAATGAACCTTTGCTCGAATCTGATTGGCTGTAGGATACAGGATAGGATAGGATAGGATAGGATTGGATTAACTTCTATATGTTTCTATCGTGAATCCTCAATCCTGAATCCTATCCGATCCCAGCCCATGTCAACTTGTGGGATAGCAGCACTGTACGTCTACGTCGAGGCGTAATATGAAAATCGGGCGCGCGATTCCGTTCGAAGCGTTGTTATTGTAAATAAAAATGGCGGCTAAGAAACGGTTTACGTTGGTAGTTTAGTTAAATTTCTTGTTACCGTAACGATATTTAATGTTGTTTGTTATTGGATTAAAACGTAATATTTTCATAATATGCACAAATATTTTTTTTTATATTGAAAAAGGTCTTCAGCGGGATAAATTCGTAACACAGTCAGTTAGTGACCTAATACGGATTCATACAGGGTGTGAATTGGAAATCCGTATTGGGACTCGGTTTCGCCTCGCCCAATACGGATTTCCAATTCACACCCTGTATGAATCCGTATTAGGTCACTAACTGACTGTGTAACTAATAGTACAGGGTGTCCCATAATATATGATACCATTTGAAGTTATTGTCAGAAATCAATTTCTTGACCACTTCAGCTGATAATTGTCTCATTTGTTTCATAATTTGATTCCCTATATAACTTTACTCTAGAATATGTTTTGAGATTTCAAAGTTTAAATTTTTTAAACTTCATGACAGTGGTGCTAAATTTAGAGGTATGTGACTATAAATGAAATAAATCCATTAAATAAAAAAAAATGACCATGATTGTACGAATTGGAGAATATAAAACAAAGCAATCTTAAAGATAATGTAAAATACTTTGATTAACAAAAATGTTACTTTACTAAACTATAATTAACTATAAGGAACTATCTTTGTATAAAGTATCTTTTGTTTTGGATGTCCCATTTCAGATGCAGAAGAAAAACATACTTGTGCAAAAAGTGTTGAAATTAATTAGAAAAGTTATGCTAAATGATAAATAGGGTGCATATAAAGACAAATGTCAATAGAAATGTATCTCATATCCGAAAAACGTTAAACATTGAAAATAGAACTTATACATACCGATGTATTCTTTAAATATATCGCATTTCTCTACAGAATCTATTCGAATCAGATCGCCGCCATCCAATATACACTTGTTGACAGCCTCCCAGTACCCCATCCTCACTGACACATACTTGAGACAAACCTCGAGATGAGTATACACGTATGTAACGTACCCTGTTGGGCAGGGGGCTAGAAAGAAACCATCATGAGCCATAAATCGTCGATATTTTTTCCCTAGGCCTAGGTATTTTGATACAGTTTTTCATCAGAAAGTTTTAAATATTATTATTCTTTTTCCTGTTTTTTGTTTTTGGATCTTTTTTGGTTTTGTTTTGGTGTCGTTTTGGTTTTGTTTGTAAGTTTTTTTTGTTTGTCTGTTTGTTTTTTGTTTGTTTGCTATTTTTTGTTTGTTTTGTTTATTATAATTTCAGTAAACCATGTTGTAAATAGAAACATTTTAAATAGATACAATGTATGCCATTTTTGGCTATGGTTATCTTTGTTCAACCGTTTAAAGACGGTTCTGCGACACAAAAATGCAATATGCATTTGCATACGTTTGGCTGTTATCATTTTTACTTTAAAATCAAATTTACAATAAAAAAAATCTACGTCAATTTTTCGGGAAAATGTTTCAATCGTTAGCTAGCTACACATTCCAAACACAGGACAAGATGAATGATAATGTTCTGAGCATAATAAAATAGTTCCATCCTTACAAATAAAAATATCGAATAATAAATATATATACTAAAGACAGTATTACTTAACAATATTAAATAGCAAATATACACATGGTCTTTTATTTATTTCTCAAAAAATATATATATTTTATATTGTGAGTTTTGAAACTTTTAAAAAGAATTCATTCATTTTGATTATTTCATATCCTATTTCAAATTTTATCAACCAAAAACGTTAATCAGCTTGTATTTAACATCAATACGATACAGTGAATAATAATAAGTAACTTTGATTATAAGAACGCCGATTCTTTGATTTTTAGCACAAAAGCACAAAAAAAGATATTGACTTACAAGGCTTGAATGTATTCCACTCTGTACCGTTTATATTAAGAATACTTCCAGGAACAGCATTGCAGCACATACAACGCTTATTGAACCTGTTATGACTGAACATATATAAAGACTTCTGGTTTTTCACGCACTGGTGAAAGCAAATAATTTCGCTCTCTATGTTTGAGCGAGTTTGGCATGAATCTGTTAGATTCTCGTTGAAAATTATAGCATTGTTTTCATGAAATGTGCCTGGAATCGCCATTTTACACAGCAAATTAAAAATCGTGAATGAAAGGAAATATTTTGTTAACATTGCAGTGAGTTAAATTTCTGACTGTTTATAATCAAAAATCGCCTCGTGGAAAATAAACCTAGCTTGTAAATTTTTAAAACTCTTCTGTCAAAGTTCTTGTAAAAATTTCGTTCAAGTTAATAATATATACATCCATTAAATGAAAACAGTGAGATAGCTGTAAAATATGTATATTTGTTTATCGAGCTATTAGGTAAAATAATAGACTATTGTTCTTCTTACTGATTTGTAAATAACCCAATAATTTAAATTCCACTCAGAATTTTGCTGATATGAAAAATGGTAATGTAAATTCGAGCTTTTATTTGCCTTTTAGTTGAAGACAAAGTTTTTTCTTTCAATCGGAAATTTTATCATTGTAAATAATATCTTTTCTGAGAAAAAAAATCAGAGTTCGATATCTATATAAAAAAATCGTTAAAAAAGAATCGATCGAAAAATCTGTACCCAAGATATTTCTTGTTTGCTTTCTTTTTTAGAATATGTTTTTCAATATAATTTTGTCTAAAAAAAGTTTATACAAAGATTAACTAGCCTTTCGATACCACAAGAAAAAAAAAAAACCACCTTTCACTGAAAATATATAATTTGCCAAGCAAATCCTTGAGGGATTGATTCAATTTTCAGTGTACATTTTAGTATAAAGCAAGTGTGGTGCTATTGATATTTACTCTGGACTCCTCTATCCTCTCATAAGTATGTAGCCTTGTACTTTCCGCTCTGAAGTAAAGAAAGGAAATACAACCTGCATATGGGAATTTTGTCTTTCAGTTGATTTGATACGTAACAAGATTCTCTTTGCGCGAAAATTTTCAAAGCGAGACAAGCTATTGACAAACATGTTAATGAATCAAGGATATCGACAGTCTAATATAAAGTCATCATTTTGCAAGTTCTTTGTTCGATACAATGGTCTTGTCAGCAAATACAATCTATTATTAAACCAATGGCTGACTGGCAGTTTTTCTTAGCAATTGCTAGACCATTTTTATGTACTAAAATATGTACGGTTTTATTCCATTTGCCCTATCATCAAAAGAAGCAAACAGCGGGTTAATCCCAACCTCTAATACTTTAGAGGTCCCTGTTTACTCTACTTAAGATTTGCATTGTTTCAATTGAGTTTTAATAGGTAACGTTACTTTAGTCGTATCTCTTTTACATTTCTCCCTATTATTCTTAGCAAAATTGTTTCATATAAAATCAAATACAATAAAAGATATACAAGGATCAAACTCTACCATTTAGTTAATTGAAAGGTGACTCAAATTTTACTGACTCAAAGTTCACTGAAAGGTGACTCAAGGTTCCGTTGAAATAATTCCAGATGGATTGTAGCAACACATGAACACAGACAATGCTGATTAAGACCATCAAATTGTGACTGAACATGTAGAAATGGTTTAATCTAATTTGGCATGTCATAAACAATGTACAGTGCTGTGCATATTACGGTAAATCATGCATGAGCTTGTTGCATATAGGTTTATTTCCAATTCAAAAATAACATGAACGAAACCTTTTGTTGGTAATCTAAATAAGACATTAGAGGTGATTTAAAAGACAGATTATGCCCAAGTCATTCCAAGTGAAAAAATGTTTACGCATATGCAAAAGTTCTATGTGACAGCCGACTATATATCATAGGAAATACCGTGCAAGCACAATTTTTAGCGAGGATTTAATTTTGGCATTATTAGCGAGGGTGCTGAGATCGCTTAAATTGAATATTGCTGAAAATTAACTGCGTTTTCATTGTAATGTCCTCTTTAGTGAGCTTTTTAATATCGCTAAAAATACTTCTCGCTAAAAATTAAAATTTTTAAAGACAAATCACTAAATTTGCGTCTCGCTAAAATTTCCACTTATAATGAAAGAATTACGAAAATTTCAAATATTTTATTTGACTTTTCCATATTTTGTCATGTAAATTTATACCTATTTTATATATTAAGTTGATTGAACATTTTCAAGAAGATTAAGCAATTAATCCACCATTGAAATTTTATCGTTTACTCTTGCCTATGATTCCTTTCAGAATGTTCATTGTTTCCTACTGAATAGAAACAGAGATCTATTGCAATGAAGGGTTTACTTTTTAGGTGGATATCGAAAATAAATCCTGAGTGAAAAGATTTTTCATACTTTAATTACAGCAATAGTGCGGGTACAATTGCTTAATCAATATCCTCTAAGTGTAATCTTTAGGGATGGATTAAGAAATGTAGCTTTGGTTGATATCTGGATTAAGATTCTCATAAAATATTTTATTTTTAATCATATTTTTTTTTACATAAAATGTCAATAGGTCAAAGCTACATTTCATAAAT